CCGGTCCACACGCGAGAAATCTTGGCCCAGCAAAGCTGATTGCTGCTCGTTGCAGGTGCAGAGCCTCGATGAGACCCTGCAGAGCACCAACCTCCAAGTGTCCCGCCTGAAATCCGACCTGCGGGTGACGCAGCAGGAGAAGGAGACCCTGAAACAAGAGGTGGTGTCGCTGCACAAGCAACTGCAGAGCACCAGTGAAAAGGTAAAGGGCTTCAGGGACCTCAAAAGATAACTTCAGTTACTGTTTATTGTATATAATGTGCAGATTTTAAACTGACTTTTAGAAAACTCTCCAAAGTGTCGAGTGTAATGGTCAATCTGAGTTTTTCCATCCTTCCCTGAAAGAAGCCTTTTGGCAAAAAAAAAAAATATAAAAACCCAGTTCTGTGGGTGATGTGTGAATTTGCACCTATCAACTATAAAAATTAACAAAACTAATCGACTGAGGATCGGATTTCCAGTCCGGTTGAGGTTTGAAAGGTAGAGAATTACAGCAGCCTGTCTGAACCAGTGAGGATCTGTAACTGGAGGAGGTTGTAGACAGCAGTCTTGGGATTGGTATTATGGATTCAGGTGGTAATTTGGCTTCTTTGCCATGTAATTAAGGAATATTTAATGTCCACGTGGAGAAGAGGCTGTTTCAGAATGGTACAAGAGGAACTAAATTACAGCTATTACTGAGTAATATATAATACTGAGTCCAATTTTGTTCTAAACAGAGCACAGATTGCTGCCTTCTTTTGTGGTGCTGAACTCTGTGCCCTCGTTCTGAACTTGGTTATTACCCGTGGTTTCAGTGAAGGGAGGCACTTGGGCTTTGCACGTTGGGGTTTTCTTAGGAGAAAATTGTTTGTAGGCTGGGAGGAAAAACGGGAATCCTGCGACTTTTAGAGCCTGCAGGTACCAAAGATCTCCTTAAAAACCCTCCTGAACAGAGGAAATATCTGCTTCTTTGTTTCAAGGCCTAACCCTGCAATTCTGTCTGTCTTAAGAACCGGGTTCTGGAAGGGGCTGTGCCTTCCCCAGGGCTGCAGGACCAGCGGGGGCCGAGGAGTTGGGATGAACCGGAGGAGCAGCCGATGGAGCGGGAGCAGGGCCTGCTCAGGCAGGAGAACGAGAGGCTGCAGAGGGAAGTGCAGAGCACTAAAACAGAGCTGGCTCACTCCAGGGAGAAGGTAACTGGAGAAAGGGGGGGGACAGATCACACAGAAGGGCCAGGGTTGGGATGGAGTTCTGGAGATCATCCACCTGCTCTTGATCCAGATCCAGAGTCACATCCAGGCAGGTTTTGAGCATCTCCAGAGAGGGAGATTCCACAGCACTCTTAGGGTGTTTCTCTTCTTTAAAAGAAAATCCTACTAATTCTGGTCTGACTCCCAGTTAACACCCTTTCATTTTTAAGAAAAGATTCTTAATATTCCCAGTGTTCTTCTCGTGCGATTTCTTGGCTCACAGTAATAGGCAGATTATGGGGGGGGAGGAGGAAGGGAAAGGAGGACAAGATGCTCAAAGCTAAAATTTGCCAAGGGAAGCTGTGGCTGCCCCTGGATCCCTGGAAGTGTCCAAGGCCAGGTTGGAGCAACCTGGGCTAGTAGAAGGTGTCCCTTCCATGGCAGGGGGTGGAACAAGATGGTCTTTAAGGTTCTTTCCAACCCAAATCAGTCTGTGATTCAGAGTCCAAAATCAATTGGTACTCAGTATTTTAGATGAAGTGGATGCAATTAGATTTTTTTTTTTTTTTTTTTGGGTCACCTGGAACACCTTTCCACGCTTGTTCTTCTCTTTAGATCCGACAGCTGGAATCCACAATCCTTTCCCTAAAGCACCAGAAGCATCAAAGCCAGTCAGGCATCGTCAAAGCCATAGAGCAGGAGAAACTGAGCCTGAAGAGGGAGTGTGAACAGCTGCAGAAGGAGCTGTCATCTGCAAACAGGAAGGTCAGTTTGGGCTGGGGAAGTGACAAAAGCTCTAACTTTGTTGTTTTCCTCCAAGGTTTGTGCTTTTTGTCTCTTTTTAAAAGAAAACAAAACCCTGTCCCAAAGGAGCTGACTGTGCCCTGTGCATCTGCAGGGTGGCATTCACCTGTGGCAAAGCATCACATTTGTCCAAGTTATTTTGTCCTTGTTGTTTTGTTTTGTTTTGTTTTTTTTTAGTCTTGAATTGTCTTTATGTTTAATGGTTCGTGACTTGAGTATTGGGGAGAAAAATGAAAAACCAGATAAAATAAGACACTGCTGCTTTTTCTAAGGAAACTTCTCTTGTCTCTGATAGATCAGTCAGATGAATTCTCTTGAACATGAACTGGAGACCAGCTCAGAAAACGAAGGGCTGAGGAAAAAGCAAGTCAAGCTGGATGATCAGTTAATGGAGGTACTTCTCAATCAGTGTTGACTCTGGGCCTTCATCCCAGTCTCACTCTTGTCTGTGGGTTTGCTTTAAAACAACTTCTAGATGTGTAAGAAACAGAGAAAACTAATTGACACTGGAAGAACTAATCTCTCCTAATATTTAACTTCATCTTCCGTGGCCAAGATGCGAGGGTGACAAACGTTGTGGTTTATCATAATTCACATGAGGCTTCAGATGTCAAATCAAACAGCAGAGAACCTTGTGGGGCAGGGCAAACACTTCCCCCTTCCTTCCTAAAACGTGTCACCTCCAATTTCCTGACTAATATTTGTGTGATGCTGCCCTTAATGGAGAAACTTGTTCTGATTTGCTGAATTTAAGCCTTGTAATCTTATCGTGATAAATTAACAATTTGTACGTTTTACTGTCGTTTCCACTCATGCCTTGAAATTTCCAGTTGAGGTTCTTCCAAAGGCTGCAAATTATGCTGGATGTTAAAGCTGTGTAAGCTCTGAGGAGCCCTTGGAATGGGCAGAGCTTAACAATGTTTATTGTGAACCTTCAGGTCAGCCCAGACCTCTTGAGTTGCCCCTCAGTTGATGTCCCGGCTTCGATGTCTTGTTTTATAACATTAGAAAAAGAAAAAGAAACCCACGATTTTGGCTTTTGCAATAAATCAGAGCATCTTCCAGATGAGGCTTTTACAACACCCAATTAGAAGACTTTGTGCTTCTCATCAAGGCAGCAAACAGGAAACGTTACGCTGGATATCTGATGTAATTGGTTATAAAGCTGCGAAAACTTGATTAGTAAATACGAGATTTTAGACAAGTTAATGAAAAGGCTGTTCATATTCCTCCCTGCTTTTATTTATAGAGCCCTTAACTAAGCTTTGGGAAAATGCCAAGCACCGTTGAAACCCGTCAGTGTAAGCACCAAGGAGGGAATTGCTTTTTCTGCTAAAATGTGCATTTCAAAACACGCAGGGTTTTGTTCCCCCCGTTAACGTTTTCCAGGCAGGGTTGGTATAACATTTTGTGCCTTCTAACTCTCTCTTCTGTGCCTGTTCTCCTTTTGTTCATGGCTAACCTGGCTAGAGCTCAGTGGTTGGAAGTAGCAGAGAAGGGTGCAGTTCCCTTTCTGAAATAGTGTGCGAAGGTAGAGCAATGGTTTTTGATGTACCACCATAGCATGGAGAAAGCATTTCCTTTTCCTTTTTTTTTTTTATGGGTTTTTCTTTTTATTCCATGCATCTTTTTAAGTAAAGGAGCCACTATTCGTTTCAGTGTCGATTATTTTCACTCTGGCTGTCGGGCAGTGCCCGATCCTGTGCCCCGAGAAGATGAAAATTCCTCAGGTGCTGCCTGAAAAAAATAGAAATAACCCAACTGAGGTCAAAAATAATGCCAATTGAAAGTGAGAAAATGAACAGTGGCTTCCTACTAACCCATTGACTGTGAGGTTTGAAGGTGTTTGCGTATTTACTTTGGTACTTGCATGCTTTTCCAGTGTACCCTTAAATTAACTTGCTCTGTCATCCCCCTTGGCATCATCCCAATAGTTTAGCAAGTTCATTATTGCTCCTTTTTTTTCTTTTTCTCTTATTTTTTCTCCCCCCAGATAAACACAGCAGGACTAGATTGTTTTCATTATTGTTTCACTGCTGTTTGTCTTTAAGATGCTGTTAACACTGATTGACTGTTTCTTCATTAGATACTCGTGTGCTTCACAGCAGGACAGGAACCCCTAAAGAAATGCCCCCAAAAAAGCTCATTATTTTCACTGTTCATATTGTCAGGATGAGAACAGCTCCTTTCCAGACAAGATGATTCAAGAGAAACCCCCCACACACACACACACACCAGATAACTTAAAATAATACAAATAGTTTTTATTTTGAAGTATCTGTAAAGCTCTTTTCTGTTTGCCTGGGCCAGCAGAGATCTAGAGATGGTGACAGAAGAGCTGCACCACTGTAAAATAAAGTTATAGATGAAATCAGTAATTGAAATAAGCCCCCACACTGAGGCTTAATTTTACCACGAGTGAAAGGAAATTAAAACCGCTTGTGAAAGGGAAATTGAAACTACCCAGATAATCTTATTCACCTTTTCCTAAGGGAACAGAGTAAAGGTTTTGGGCTAACAAGTGAGAATTTATGGGATCAGCTGGGGAAGAAATTTACTGATGTTACACAAATTCAAGCTGCAAATCAGCTTGTCTGAAACATCAGGGATTTTTACTGTGCAGGTCTGGAATTTTTTTAGTATTATAAACTATTACAACCGAGTTTTACTTTAGTCTAAAAAAAAAAAAAAATCTAAATTATTAATTTCCTGTGGCTGACACAGCTCTCAATATTTCTGCAGTTAGTAGTGAACATAAGGAAAGATCCACAAGGGGTTTAAATATTGAATTTTGAATGTGATGTAGCAGCTGGCATCACATAGACGGCACTGAAAATTTGTTGTGCTTTGAGAACATCCTCTCCCCCTCCTAAATTAAAGACTAGAAATAACCAGCACAACTTCAGTGCTTTTGCTTGTTGGCAAAAGGTGCCGTTTGTAGAAGAGCTGCCGAGACGGAGGCTAAAATAAAAATTAAAAACTTAAAAAAGGGGCTGAGTTCAAGCTCGCCTAAACCAAACCTGGATCAGAGCTCCCATTCCCTTAGCGCTGCATGCTGCTGCCTCTTTTTCCCCCTCGGAAAAAGTCCCGTTAGTAGCTCCTCTTGCCGAGTCCTGTCGCCCACGAGAGGTCCGAGAGCGGCCCGGCCGCCTCGCCGGTGTCGATGGGTTGATTGAATCTCCCTCTCCTCTCCAGATGCTCCACTCCAGCTCCAGCGGGATGCGTAGCCAGAGCCCGCGCTCCTGGGAGCTCCAGCAGCCGGGCTGTGCCGTGGTGCCCAGGGAGCAGTTCCTGCAGCTCCAGCAGCAGCTGCTCCAGGCGGAGAGGAGGAGTCAGCGCCTTCAGGAGGAGCTCGAGGCTCGGCCCTCGGACACCAACGTGCAGCAGGTAAATTGAAGCTCCCCCCTTGACCTGTAGGTTTTCAGCTTGAAAGGGATATTTGGGTGGTTTTTGGGTTGTTTTTTTTTTTCCCCTCCCCCGATTCTGGTGAGATCCCTTCTCCGTTTATGCCAGTTCAGAAGTGAAAATGAACGTTGGTTCCTTCGGAAATGTGTGCAGTGATGTTGTTGAGCATCTTTAGCCTGAGCCACGGCTTTGTTCCGAGGTGCTCCTCAGCTTTTTGGGATCCAAAGCACTCCCATCCACACTCAGCTGGCTTTTCTCCCTCTGATCCTCCTGTGTTTGTAGGGTTTTTGTTGCTTTAAAAGTCTGGAACTATTGTTTTGAACAATACCCCCCGCCAGATCCATCCCATGAAATCCCAGTTCGGGCTGGTTTTGTCACCTGGAATTCTGGCAGTTGTAGTAGAGCAGAATACAAACAAATTGATCCTTTTTAAAAATGTTTTTATAAGGTCAAATCTTCATGATTTGGCCATGAAACAAGACATTTGTTTGGAGAACGTTGTTAATGTTAACAGAGAAGGAACATTCATTCCATCCACTGCCCTTAGTGGGCAGAGTCACTTTTCTTGGTGTTTTGATTTTTTTTTTTTTTAAGCTTGTAAAATTTCCACTTTTTATTATTAAATTATTTATTAGAATTAAATTATAGGCAACAGATAGGAAAGTTTGCATCTCCCACGTAACAAACTTCGGACTGAGCTTGCCAAATGATCCTTTTTTTTCCCCAGAGAGTTAATGAATCTGTAAATCTCTAAAGCTTTGGCTCAGGCCATAGGTC